GGGTTCGCGTCCCGGCCCCGCCTGCGGGTCGCGGCGGCCCTGCCGGCGCTACGGAACAGGGGTTTCCTGCAAAAACCCCCCACTCCAGCGCCCCTCACACGAGGGGTCTGGTACAGCAAGGCTGGATAAGGCAGCTCAGCCGTGCTACCCCTTGCAGGAGGAAAAAAACCCACAGAGGTGACTTTTGTTACAGATCTGTTTCTAAACTATACTATATTCTATGGTAAATGTGTATTAACGGCCTGCTCCAGCCCCAAGAGCAGCAGGAGCAGGCTGCAGGTGACAGGACCAACACAAAGGCTCTGTGACAGCAACCCAGCCGCTGATTTCCTTACCAGAACTGCTAAACCCACTGAAGTCTGAGATTAGAAGCAGGCAGCCCCAGCGAGAGCACGGCGAGGAACACAATATGTGCCACAGCAAGAGTTACAAGCCCCATCAAAGGGAGGTCTCAGCTTGCAGGAGCAGCAGCTGCCCTTGCTGCCAAGGCTAAGTCCTCCTGTCCCTCCGGGCTGCTGACCTGCAACCGAGTTCAGTCATTCATTGCAAAGAAAAGGGAAACTGCTCTCTGTGTCACTCCCACTACGGCTAGAGCTTTAATGAAGGAGTCCGGGGTGTCTGGCCAGCCTAACGTGGCCAGGCCACAGCCTGCAGGCAGGCAGAATGCTAATTCATGTCTAACGCTGCAGTACAGGGTCACAAGGATGAAGGCTCTCTCCGCAGGAGAGACTGGGGACGCTGCAGCCTGGGAAAGGCTGCCTGTGTCAGGGAAACAGGCAGAACATGGCCCTGCATGTCCAAGAGCCATGGAAGGAAGCACTGCTACGCCCGACCGCAGGGAGACGCCTCCTGCAGAGCTCCTCTGAAAGCTGCCAGGACGTGTCTTTCATCAAGGCAAGTTTCTCCTGTGACTGTGGGATCGTCACGCCCAGGCAACGTGAGGCTGCAGGCCAGCAGCAAGCTGTCTGCAGGACAGTTACTGTGCCACGTTTGGCCTTGTCTGTACTTGTCCTCCCCTGGGTCTCAGGCAGCCATGAACTACGAGCTCCGATCTTCAGGCTGAACTGGCTACAGACCTAGAACACAACCTTGGCTAATCCAGGGAGCAGCCTTCCCCCTAGCATTGGCTTTAAAGCATCAGTCATCTCCCCAACCTCACTGAGCAAATGGGATAAGCAATGTCTCCCCTGGCTTGAAATAGCTCAAGTAAGAAGGAAAAAACCCCCAAAGGCAATTTTTGTTACAACTCCATTTCTTCCAAAAATAAATATACTAACAACGCCCTGCTCCAGACCTGAGACCAGCAGGAGCCAGCCTGCGGTAGGAGGGAGGCAGGACCAGTACAAAGGCTCTGTGACAGTCCGTGCTTAGTGCGACAGGGCACTGGGTCTCTCCTGAGCACCATAGGACGCCCGGACAAATGGCATGTCCTGTCTGTACTTCATGGCAGTGGGCGGCTGGCGCCTGAGCAGTAGGTCACCACTGTCCATTGGCTCAGGGTCATCATAGATGGTGGAGATGAGGATGGGACCATCTCGCCGAGGCTTCTTTACCTTGCTGAAGGTCGGCAGTTTCTCCCCATGGTACCTGGAGGGAAGCAGGAAGCACTGGGTCCAGCACTGCTGAGGCAGTGGGAAACCCCTTTATACCCCAGGCCATCTCCTTCACACGCTACAAGGGAGGAGCAGGCCAATACAGGGCAAAAAAATAAATTATTTTCCTATTCCTGGCTGTGCGATGGCTCTAGAACAAAAGCCAGCCCTCACAGCATAATATAGCAATGCATAAAGCCTTTGGAAACCCCACAGAGAAGGTAGAGGGGAGATGCACAGCTCCAGCTCAGGTCACAAGATGACTATGGCAGAAGTGATCACGGCTTCAGATCTGAGCACAGCTCCCATACGGCTCTGCTCTCCTTCCATGCCTGTGTGCTGCACGAACCTGCAATGGGTCCATTCCTCCTCTTCTAATACCACAAGCCCAGGGCATCGCAAGCCCCTTTCAGGGAGAGCTGGACTGTCAGACTATGGGTCAGAAATGCAGCGTACTGTGCTCGAGAGCACTGCGGCAGGCCCTACTGCCTGCTGCACGGGGGAAGGCAGATCCCTGGGGTGGCCTTCCAGTTCTGGTTCACACTCTGCTCCTTTCACTGCCGCTTAGCTGCCCTGTCAGTTCAGAGGGAGGCTCTGAACACGCGCCGGCAGGACAGGGTTGGGTACTTACCCCAGCCCCCTCTTGCATCTGGGATTCTGACCCTCGTTGTCCAAAGCTTCGGCCATTCCTGAGTTGCTGCTCCCCAGCCCCAGCCCTTCGGTCCAGCCCTGCTGCTCCAGCACCTTCCTGCCAATGCCCTGGGAGGGGAAAAAGTTGATCCACGTGAGCTTGCTCCAGGGCCAAGGCAGGATGGGTGCGGTTACGATCCAGGGTGACCTCGGGAGTTTGGTTCAAGGCTTCTGCAGAGATGCTGGACAAAGCCACCTCCTCACCCGCCCAGAACCCTCCTCCCCTACCACATGCCTAAGCTCTTTGCTCCCCCAAGACCCACATCCTTTAAGCATCACCACCACAGCCTTTCCTGGCCTGCCTCATCCACTCCAGAGTGCATAGCCAAAGCTCACCTTGGTGTATTTCTCAAAGGTCCCAATCTGTTGCCCTGAAACAGACCCATCCTCCAAGCCATCCCGGAGTCTCTGCTCCAGCCACATCTGGACCGAGTCCCGAGCATCCTTATCTCCTCCATCTAGGAAGAAAGAAGCAAGGATCAGAGCAGCACAGCTCAGGAAAGCCTTTCACCACTCTGATTTCCCCCAGAGCACTAAGCAGCAAGGAGGCAGAACCTGTTCCCCTTGGCAACTCTCGCTGCCAAACCAAAAAAAATGCTGTTTCAACTACTCTGACATCTTGGACACTTTCAAAGGATGACAGAGCCAAAGAGTCCCCCCACTGCAGAAATTCTGCAAGCTCAAGACTACCCTCTCTCTACCGCTTCCTAGGAGGGTTTTCAGCTCAGATACCTTTGTCATAGTAGATGCTCATGTCCACATCCCAATCGTCCGCAGTCTGCTCATCGAAGTCTGCCAAGAGAAAGAAACCATCAGTTTTGGTGGTGATGACTGTGAAAGCCTGACACAGAAGACTTGTCTGACAGGTGGAGAGCCCCCCATTTTCTCTAGCGAAATGAAAAGGAAAGGGTAGCTGGGATGCCACAAGCCACACTGCCTACAGAGAAGGCTGCCAGTAGGACCAGAGAGGGATCTCTGGCCGTTGGATTGAATGACTACAGGCTTTGTGAGAAAGGGAAAGTTTAACATGTGATGGCAAGATGCCTGCATCTGTAGCTGAACAGGAATAATTGTACAGGGTTGTACCTGATTTATCAGCTACTGCAGGACTTGGCCTCCAAGACCCCAGACAGTGGTGGTTAGTTTGCGGCTCAGTCTTGAGACACAAACGCTAACAACATTACCTCCGTTCTCCTCCTGCCAGTACTGAGCATCCGTGTAGAAGACCAGCCCAGAGCCACCTTTCTCCCACTTCAGCTCAATCTCCTCTTCAAAGAGCCGCTCCTCCATGCGGTCTTGCTTGGTCACGTCCTCATGCAAAGCCTCATGTCGCTCCCACTCCTCACAGGTATCGTTGTCCTGCAAAGGAAGCAGTGAAAGGTGAGCAATAGTGACAGCACACGGCCCAGCCTCCTCCCCATTTCCCTGACCCTCACGGTCCATTGCAATGCCTTCGCTGTGAAACAGCTTCGTCAACAGAGCTCGTTCCAGCCTGCTGTTTTCAGGCACTAACATGACTCGCACTGATGACTTCATTCCCCTGACTAATGCCATCTTCAGAGTCAGCAGACAAAAGTGATGAAAATACCACATCACACCCACTTCACAGCAGCCTTTCAGCAACATAGCCAATCCGTAACACAAAGATGCCCATTTAAGGAGCAGGCCTGTCGTACGTAAAGTCAGCGCTAGCGACAAATTAATTCCAGTCAAGTTGATCCTTAAGAGAGATTGTATCATTTCAAGAGAAGAAGCTTGCTGGCAGAGCCATAGATCAAACTGACAGCTTTGCTGCTGGCTGCCCAGTTTGGGCACAGCCCTTCATGAAGACATCAACCAACTAAAGAACAGCCAAAAGAATGATTAGAGATCCAGGAAACAGAGCCTGTGAGAAAAGGCTAGAGGAGTCAAGTTGTTTAGTCTGGAAGAGAAAAGACTGAAGGCAGCTGTTGAATAAGAAGTTTGTAAAGACGGGAACAAAGTGTTCTCGGTGTCTGCTGTTGCTAGGATAACCTAATGGAATAAAATTGCAGCAAAGAAGATTTGGCGTACAAGTTTATTCTGGTGTATAATGGCGAGAACAGCTGAGAACGGGAATGGCTTGCCTGGGGATTGTACTACCCCTCTAATGACAGAGGTTTATGAGAACAGACTAGACAAGCGTCTGTCACGTGGGGGCGAGTGAGATAGTCTGTGGGGAACCTGTCCAGCCCAGTTGTCTAGGAGTCTTTGTCAGGAAAATCATTCTTCTCGGGACATGGAATGAATAACTTTAAGCACAAGGGCATCCAAGGTCAAGCATTTGTACAGCTTCACATGTCATTTTGAAAACACTAATGCGCTTCTAAATCTCCAGCCACATCATTTATAAGCAACAGCAGAGCCAGGACAGTCCGCCAAGTGGCGGGGCGGAGACCTCCACCTGGAGCACTAGCCTCAGCCTGTGCTTGTTCTTTTGGGCCAAGCCCTTTGAGCTGAACAGTTTTATCTCCCTAAAACTGGCCTAATTTGGACAACCAGCTTCAGAGACGCTAATGTCAACACCACCACGTGCACCAAGGGTCTTGGTGCACCACAATTTGAACAACTTTGTTCTAACACCATTTTCAGACAAATGATCTACCCAATACAATTAAGAAATGAAAAATAAGCTCTGAGAGAGTTATATTGACCCTCCCAGCTTTGCAGTCATAACGATTAACCTTAGATGTTAACAGGAGAAATCCACTTACATCATCTGAGTGCGACTCTTCCGCTTCCTCCTTCTCCAGTCCCGCCCCATCTTCCTCAGCACTGACTGAATTGGACATCTCAGACCTTGCCACAGGCCCCTCGTCCTCTGTGATCTCGTCCCCTGCTGCAGTATAAACTCCTTCTTCTCCTGTAACTGTCTCAGTGTCCTGGTATTCAAAAGGCACATTCCCATACCTACGGGATGAGCCCGTCTTGGGAAAATCCAGCTGCAATTTCTTGATAATCCGGGGAGGCAGCCTGCAGGCCCGGATCAACTCCAGAAAAACTTTCAAAGGTGTTCCCACGTTCCCATGAGGCATGAACGCAGGCGGGTTTAACTCCGGCAGC